CCTTCTATAAACTATGTAGACATCCATTTTGCGTGAAAGTGGTTGGTGAAGAGATTCGAAGTTCGGTTCCACCAGAAGACGACGGCGGATTCCTCTTGTTCAACTGTCGCTTAGCTTTACTATAACATCCATGCTGACGCCGTTTTCGAGGCGAAAAGCCAATCGTCAGCTGTTCGGGAAGAATCCGCAGTCGTCTTCCGGTGGAATCGACTTTCGAATCTCTTAACAAAACACTTTTACTTGAAATGGAAGTAAGCTCAACATTTACTACTCTTAACTCAACCCATACGTGTCGCTGGAAAATAAATTACCAAGGAAACTTTCTTCTTTGGGTTCCCTATACACATCTCTTACTAATTTGGTTCCCTCTTTGCTAAATAGGATTCCTGTAAAAGGGTAAACCATCTCCCTTTTTTAACTCGATGGTGAAAGTCTTCTTCTCGACGCTTCAGTCATTCAGACCTAGAAAATTTTCCAGCTCTTCTTTGCTATGCTACCAAACAGCATTGTATTCCTCAATATAACTAACCCCTAATTTAGGGTCATAGTGAGCCTATTGAATTAGGAACTTCTCAAATTCAGTCATGAAATGATTTGCTATATTTAATGAAAAACGCTATCCCATAGTTAAACCTCGTGCAAATTCGTTCAGTTTACAAGTAAAAGTAAAATATGTACAGTACATCACCAGGTTTGTCAATATCATTATCGATTCTAATTAACTTTGTACTTCCTAAAGTCTCCGAGTGTTAGACTAATGTTGCTCGTAGAGCCTGTGTGTCATCGTCTACAGGAATGTTAGTATGCAAGGTCTCAACATCTGAACCTAAAAGTAAATCACAACTTTCAATCTCATGCTGGCTGACTAAATTAACTAATTCATGAGAAATTTTAACTGAAATCCCCCACGTCTTAGAAATGTGCTTTGACTGGTGACAAATAAGTTGTGACGTTTCATGAATCACACTTCCATTATTATCCACAATGATTCTAGGTGGAACTCCATCAATATACATTTTTTGCAGATCATAAACATTTTGTTGAGGAAGAGTGCTCATCTTTAACTTCCCTAGTTCCCCGTTTGTTACACAATTTAGTAGACAACCCCTGAGTCTCGACTTGAGTGTTTCTGTACGAGTCAATGCCATCTAGAGTCTGCACTATTTTTTCTGCATAACTCAACACACCCACAGCACTGCCTCCAACCATTTCACTTTCGGCAAACATTTAGGAAAAGCATAGGTTGTCCATTCGAATCATGTGATGTCTCATTAAGTGGACAAAGTTAGGCTACAAGAAGTAGGTATGTTTGCAGCCGGCCACCTTTTTTGCCTTTGTGTTTTGGTGAATTATGCTTAAATATGGTATCCTGCTTTGAAGATGTCCATCACGTAACGGGTGGAAGCTTGGCAAGGATTCATCATGATTGCAGGGAGGTGCACCGAGGACCTATGCGCACGATTCTAAAGTTACGGGCCCAAGGCAATCCTTCTACAGCTTTCGGTAGGGCCAACCTATGAATCTCTTCCCCTCGCCTCTTCAGACGAAATGTCAAGTACTTCAACATCAAACTATGAAAGGAGTTTTTATACATAATTGCAATATCGTTCGATCACAGTCGGCTTAAGCAGAATCACTTTGATATTGCACCTCATTTGGCTCTCTAAAGAGTCACGAACTCGGCGCATCAAGTTGTCAACTCGATCGACTTCCGGTTTGGCTGATACATTAGCTTTCTCGGTGCTTCCTCTACCACCGGTAAGAGGTCACTTCCTCCATCACCCTCGGGCCATATGAACTCACCCTCAAAATATATGCCAGCCCAGTCTTACGAGTGAATTCTCGCCAGCCTTCATACAAGCAGGCTTGTAGGGTTAACATGAGCCGTCTTAGTGCTGCTCTCTCTTGACCATTCTGTCTGGAGAGGCAGCAACTGCGGACCTTGTAACTAAAGGGACATTCTTCTTTTTACTAGAACTAGCAACTTGCCTACTTTTGCAGAATGGTCTTATTGTTCGCTTCGAGTAGGTCTTCGAGACTGCCAGAATACATTTTGGCAAAGCAAGACTATAAGAAATGCGATGGAATCGTTAGGTGTATTCATATCATGTGAAAAAGTCCAACTACCAGTTCTCTTATCCCCTTAAAGAGAAACAGTTGGAATACATTTCATGTCGATAAAGTATTTTTCGTTCCAATTCACATCTTATTGTAGTCTTCGATTATTCGTTCTCTATTTGCAAAGACTTCTGTCCTGTATCTCGCTTGTTAGCCTCCGAGTCAGCATGCCCTAAGATGAATCTAAACTGGAGGCATGGATGCGCCAAATTAAATTAAAAATTAAAGTACAAGATCAAACCTTCCATTTAAAAATGATTTAAATAGGCAATTCTGAAATATTAATTCACACAAGGAGCATCTCTTCCATAAAATGTGTGACTCTATCAATGGAGGTGCATGGAGAATTGTTGTCCAGCACGACAAAAAGCATACAAGTCAGGCTATTGCGAGAGGATATCTACAATTACTCGTTTAGATGCTAACTTGCCTTGCGAAAAGTTATGAAAATCCACGAAAGCCAAACCTTGTTTAAAACAGATATTGTAATTATAGAGGCGACAATATGCGAGTCATAAATCTACAGGATGGGATTTTTCGAAAGATTCGTCTGTTCCAACCTGGCCATGGCAACAATTTCATAAGCGATAGATAGTTAAGAGGTTTTTGAAGATGCACGAAGCATGAATAGTTGTTGAAACTTTTTGGGATTCCTTAGGTTGACCACTACTTGTGGAGATTGCAAATAAAATTCACCTGATCCCGCGTTTGTGCACGAAGTACACAGTAAGAGAATGACCTCGGATTGTTTAATGTAAGGAATATCGGCAAGAAGTTAAGTAAAAGCTACTTGTGCTTAATTAATAGGCTCAAGTATAGAGAGGGTGTCGATCTGCCTACCAAAGGGAGGCGACTCAGATAGTCTTGTCTTTACATTTCTTATCTTGGCACTAATTACAGCCACTTTTTTGTATTTTTAGTCCACTCTTTCATTATCATATAAAGACAAAAAGCTCACCAACATGACCAGACTTGTGTCCGAACTTGCGCAATATGAATGATGGTTAAAATATGCATCGAAAAAGAGTGGATGGTGGCCATCAAACCTTGATGGCCGAGAGCAGACGTTACTTTTTCTGTTCTAATTACTTTAAAATGGTCTTACTACAAACCGGAAGAGGATTTCCGCCTATTCCGATTGTGGTGGTGTGCGAAGAAGTTGTCAGCTTTAACAGTCCTGCGATACCGATTAATCTGTGCTAAGCTTTCGTCTGTCACAATGCAAGAGCATACACATGCACAAACAGACTCAGTCACATGCTTTTAGTTTGACATGTGGCTTTAACTAACCAAATCAATTTATACCCCATCAAAGAGATTAGCCGTTAAGTTTACTTGACTCGTTAGCTTGATTATGGTTGTAAGGATGATATGCGAAGAAAAGTTGGGTTTCGAGGAATCTCTTGTTTCATAATTGTGGATCTTACTTCCATTTCGAGTGAAAGTGTTGGGTGAAAAGATTCGAAGGTCGGTTCCACCAGAAGACGACAGGCACATACAAATACAGAGACAGACACACTCACATGCGTCAAAGTTTACATATGAACCTGACTAACCAACTCACCTTATACTCGATCAAAGAGGTCAGATGTAGAGTATATATACCACTTTTTAGGGATTTGCTGGTGAGTTTCCTCGACGCGCTCTGATAATGTTCGTCATATGACGGGCGAAAGCTCAGCACCTTTTCACCGGGATCGAAATGGAGATTGCCTCGGAAACAGTGTCAATTTCACTCGAAATGTAAGGATGATAGCCTGCTCTGATGAGGTCCGTAATACGACGGACGAAAGCGTAACATCTTTTCACCGGAATCGAAGCAGCATCGACACGAATATTCCAGTAGAGCCAATCGACAGTTGGTCATGAGGAATCTGCCGTCGTCTCCTGGTGGGATCGAACTTCGAATGTCGCCAGCAAATACCTTAACTCGAAATGGAAATGAGCTCAACAATCATGAACCAAGAGACTCCTCAAAATCCAACTTTTCTTCGTATATACAAGTATGCATTTTTATTTTAAAAGTTAATTATTCTTCTATTTAAACTAACCGGTGATGTATTCTTCCTCCTCTTGCTCAGATTCACCTGCCAATCCGGTGGCCATTGTGTGTTTTGGGCTCGAGGGCACTTTCACTCTGCGCATGGGCCTGGGCCACAACTCCGAGGGCTGGACCCCCCTCCGTTCGGCAGGATTCACATCGGCATTGAAGACAAGGTTGATGTGGGAAGCGGCAGGCTTGGATGGTCTCGCAGACCCTGGACTTCGCCAGGGCGGCAGATCGAGAAGATCCTTCTCATCAGGGCACTCATCATAGGCCGGACTCTCTGGAGACGTCTTCCTGCACGGGATCAGTGGCGACAATGGACGCTGGTACAGAAGGGTTGGCAGAGCTGGAGGAGGAAGAGGCACAACTCGCTCCAGAAGCTCCAGTCCATTCTGCTCCAATCCCGCTTGGGTGAGCATTCGTGAATGAATAGGCGGCTATCGGCCTCTTGAAGAATGGTGTTGTCCAACGGACACAATTCTGAAATGGTGAAGGAAAAATGTAGACAGGGCAAAGCGGAGAGAGTTATAATTCGCAGTTTTTCGTACAGGTTTGTGCTTGGTTTGGTACCAATAACGTGTGCTTTTCTACGAACACAAGGTTGCGATTAGGAATATTCACTTGATTCTATATACCATAAATACGATTGATGATGGGATACACCGTTTGTCGAGTCCCACTGCAGGGACTGATGCCAGTTCTAGTCACAAAGAATCGGAGCCAAGATTTGATTTTGCATTGAAATTCACCATGACCTCCACGCCCATAATAAAGATTACGTCTCGATCCCACACACGAGTATTGTGATCATGCACTTATGGACTTTGAGGTGTACGCATTAGTCTCAGGCTAAACAATCTTGGCGTCTCTAAGCTACAAGACAGCAATACAGTTCAGATGGCATCTGGCATGCAAAATTCACATTTACTCACACTTATCTGACACGAGTTCAAATCAAAGCTTTTTTCGAAGGTATGAAGACCAAGATGGTGTGGTCTTTTGTGTGGTTGCAGTCTCCTTTCGTTGTATAGAGGTTGTTTGACCTTGTTTTCGCAACATG